GGTATATTATTTGCACTCTATTCTCTGTCAGAAGTTTTCAATCATTGGGAGATTGTATACTAGGTATAGGCCTTTCCTGAGTTCCATAAACAGGATGCATTGTGGTCTAGATTCAGAACAAACAACACCATATAAGACATAATGTTTGTACAGCTGTTAGTGTTACACAATAGAAGTATTTCACCATCACCTGACGGCAGCCATATTAAATGGTAGAAACAATACAATTTTACATAAGAAAGAATTCAATTCCCGAGAGCAAAGGGATTTTATTGTTCTGCCATCTAACCACAGGCAGCCCATGTGATGGTGAAATACCTCTAAAGAAAACAACAGTTTTGATCTAACAAATTAAAATTTCACATACATGGTTTAAAAATAGTGTGTTTATTGTTTACTATTTAATGTTTACAAGCTATTTTAGCTCCTATAAAGTGCCTATATTTTTGGGGAAAAATCCTATATTTTCCTATATTTAGAACTTGCACARCCTATATTATTTCCTATCAAATTTGTCTAAAAAGTGGCTGGGATGCCTTTATAAGACCATTCTTCCTAGGAATGGGTAGAAATGTTCTTTAGAGCCAGAAGATCAATRATTTTTCCTTTTAAAAAAGAATTTGTTACACACTGACTCATCCTTTCATTTGCTCTTTCGTTCCTTTGTTTATTTGTTCATTTATTTATTTTGCTTTCCTTTCAGTTATTTTTCCAAATATTAATTATTCTGACTGGGAATTACAATTTCTTCAATCTRCTAGCAGTGTTTGTTTTGTTACCAATCATTGATGATGAACACTTAATGGCTGTTTGTCCCTCGTGGCTTGGTAAGTTAGAAAAACCAGAAACAGACACCCACCCATGGTTTTCCTAGAGACACCCATAGTTACTCCTAGAGTCACCCATAGGTACTCCAAGAGACACCCATAGGTACTCCAAGAGACACCCATAGTTACTCCTAGAGAGACCCATTGTGACTCCTAGAGACATCCATGGGTACTCCTAGAGACTCCCATTGGTGCTCCTAGAGACACTCATTGGTACTCCTAGAGACAGCCAAAGGTACTCCTAAAGGCATCCTTAGGTACTCCTAG